CCCTCGGCATGGTGAGGTCTCTGTCGTGCAGTCAGGGCCTCGCACCGTCTGCAAGTGGCTTCATCAAGTTGTGTTGCAGTGGCTCTGGGAAAAAGTGGCCGCTCGAGAAGGTGTTCCTGAGCTCTCTCTTGGGTGCAATTTTCAGCCTCCGCAGTCCCTTTTAGCCTCTAATGGTCTCAGACACGATGAGAAGGCTTACCTGAGGAGCGTTGTTGCTGGGGGGCAGTGGCCTCAGCATCGCCAGTGGCTAGCGCAGTGCACCGCCGACCCCCTTTGCCGTTTGTGTCAGCAGGCCCCTGGTACGCTCCTGCGTCGTCACGCGTGCTGTGCGGGCCACGATGACCTCATTGCACAGGAGGTCCCGCCTGAGTTTTTGAACTCGGTTGTCAGGGCGTGCGTGGATCCTCTTCCTCTCCTTTTCGCCGAGAGGCTCCTCGTCCCCGAGGCCCCCCTTCCTCCTGCGAGTCCCCTCCCTGATCGGTGGTTTGGCGGAGGACCCACCGAGATGGCAGGCCATATTTTTCTCGACGCCAGCTGGATGGACCAGCATCTGCCGCCAGCGTCTCAGGCTGTGGGCTGGGCCATTGTCAGCGTCCAGTCGCACCATCCGTATAATGTCAATTCGGTGATGTGCGGCACTCTCCAGTCGGCGTGTCGTGATGTTGACTGTGCAGAGCTGTTCGCCTTCAATCGCGCGTTGCAGCACAGTGCTCCTGGCAGTACTTTTTACACCGACTCTGCGTTCGTCCACGATGGAGTCCACCAGCGTGGCAAGGTGCACTGTTGTTCCTCACGCGCTGCCTGGTCTGAGTTATGGGTTCAGGTCTGGCGCCGCATCGAAGACTGGGGCGGCATCGAGTGCGTCGACCTTCGCAAAGTCAAGGGCCATTGCACCGAAGCCCGCATCCAGTCTGGACTGTCAATTCGTTTTGAAAAAGAGGGTAACGCTCATGCTGATGAATGGGCTCAGTGGGTGGCCTCATGAGCCCGCATAGGCCCTGAGCTTCGCCGTGTTCGCAAAGCCAAGGCCCTCGTGCTCTCTCAGCGGGCGCCCTGGGCTGCGCGTGTTGGGCCTCGCATGTGCGACGCCGATTGTGAGCGCGTCCCTCGGCGGCAGCGCAAGGCTCGTGGCCCAGGCGCAGTGGACTGCCCTGTGCCAAGGGTGGTGGTGGAGCCCCCGCCGCCAGTCACGCCGCGCAGCCTGTCGAGAGCAGACCTGGCTTCTGCGCGGGTGCAGCTTGCGGATGAGAGGCCGCATGTCATGCACCCCTTCGCCGTTATCGGGGGCGGTGGGCGGAGGTTGCGGTGTTTTGTGCGTGTTGTGTGCGGGTTGGGAGGGGTCAAGATCTCTGCGAACTTGTCACAGGGTTGTCGAGGCCCTCCCGCTTCAGGCACGTGGGGTGCTCGAGTCCTCTCGGGCCTCACGCGTGCGCCTGCGCGCTTCCAGGTCAATCGGATGTGGCGGTACCTCGAGGATCCGCTGTGCACGGCCTCTCTGATCCGTGCAGGTGTGGTGCAGCCCCTCTCGAGCAGCGGTGCGCCGTGATGCGCGGCTTCCACGTCTGCCAGCCTGTGTGCTGGCATCGCCTTTCATTTCTGGGCACTGTTCGGGAGGCGCCACCCGCCTCTGGCATTTGCTACGCGGTGGCGCAAGTGGCATGTGGCGCGGACAACCTTGTTCAAGTTCAGGCTGAGTCGAGGAGGGGGGAGGATCGGGATGGAGGAGGAAGAGGAGGAGGAGGTGGAGGAGGAAGAGGAGGAGGAAGAGGAAGAGGAGGAGGAGGAGGTGGAGGAGGAGGAGGCGGACGACGACGACGACGACGACGACGACTACGATGAGGACGAGGACGCGGACGAGGAAGAGGAGGAGGAGGAGCAGGAGGAGGAGGAGGAGGAGGAGGAGGAGGAGGGCGCCATCGATAGGGAAGGTGAGGGCCACGAGGTCCGCCGACTCGACGCCCGCGTCGCCCGCGCCCGCCCCTTCACTCCTGTCCGCATTGCGGGGTGCTGCGCAGGGTCCAGGGTCCCTAAAACAGTACACACAGAAGGTCCAGGAGGGTGGGGGTGTCAGAGGGGGCGGGGGAACACAGCGTCGTGTTTTGTAGGGTGCAGGGTCCCTAAAACAGTACACCCAGGTCCAGGAGGGTGGGGGTGTCAGAGGGGGTGGGGGGTGCCGGCGTCGTTTTTTGTAGGGTGCAGGGTCCCTAGAACAGTACACGCAGAAGGTCCAGGAGGGTGGGGGTGTCAGAGGGGATGGGGGTGCCGGCGTTGTTCCCGAGGGATGGGCTTGAGGTCTGGGGATGTCAGACGTGGTTGGGGCAGGGTGGGGGTCAGGGTGGGGTCTGGGCCAGGAATTGTCGGGTGAGGTGTTCCAAGAGCAGAGATCCCGAGGGATGGGCTGGAGGTCTGGGGATGTCAGACGTGGTATGGGGCAGGGTGAGGGTCAGTGTGGGTTCCAGACCAGGAATTGCCGGGCGGGGCGCGGAAATTACGGGGTGGGGGGCTAGAGAACAGAAGCGACGTAAGAGGTAGGCGGCGAGACGTAGTGTTTCTAACCCGGCCCTTCATCTCACACGCCTCTGAGGTTGGCGAATATGTGGGATGAGGTGAGACCGCGAAAGCGTTTGCGAGGGAAGGTTAACCTCGCCGCCGTCGCCCTCTGCCAAACCCAGGCTTGCTGAGGCGACCTTGCGGGCTCTGAGTTTTATTTCGTCCGCACAGACGGCTTCCCATCTAGCCCTGCCTCTCCAAAACAAGTGTATATATTCTAGGCTTCCTAGATGGGGTCGGAGTTGATGGGGTCGGAGGATCGCGCCGCATCGCCGATGCATCGCCGATGCGGCTCGATGTGCAGCCCGATTTGCTCCACGTCGACGTCGCCGATGCCTCGCCCACGTCGACGATGCATCGCCGTTGCATCGCCGATACATCGCCGATACATCGCCGATGCATCGCCGATGTATCGCCGATGCGGCGGGATCCTCCGACCCCATCTACTCCGACCCCATCTAGGAGGCCTCTACATATGTGGGTGCCTGCACACATACGCGCATCTCGGGAGAGGCACCGCGGTGAGCCCAAAGCTCCGCAGGAGGATCCCACGTCTGCGGAGGGGCACACGGTACGGCATGGGGGCGCGCGGGCACCGCAGGGCGTTGTCGGGAAAGCCGAGATGGCTTCGAGATGGCCGGGCCAAAGAAGAGGTTCCTCAGAAGCTCCGAGAGGGCCCCAAGAGTACGTCCGGAGGCCCCGACCCGGAGAATGCAGTTTCGCTGTGTCGATGTCCACTTTCCTTCCATTTTTGCTCTCGAAGCGTCCACGACGGCCCAAGAGGTGTCCATGATCGCCCCAAGACGCCCAAAAAGAGCCACCCAAGGTTTTCTATCCGACCCCCAAACCCAAGAGGCTTCCAAGAGAGCCAAGACAGTCTTAAGATTGCCCACGATGGCTCCAAGAGGGCCGCACAGGCTCGCAAGAAACTTTCCGAGGGCCCCAGGAGGACATCACAGAGGCCCCCGACAGGCTAGCATCATTGATGTCATGCATGCGTTCTGCTTTGGGCGTCCTCGCCTCGTTTTGATTGAAGAGCGCTTGCGACGGCTTCGGGTCTCCAGAATCGTTCCAAGCCGGCCCAACAGGGTCCCACGAAGCCCTCCAGCTGGCCCGAGAGGAGGAGCGCACGCCCAGAGGCTCTCAAGAGAGCCCCAAGAGTCCCCAGGCGTCTGCGGCAAGACGGCCAAGATGGCCCAAGATGGCACCTAAGAGGATCGACGAGGCTCCAAAGACGTTCCGAGAAGGCCCCAGGAGGATGCCCCAGGGGCTCCCAGCAAGCGGCTTCGCTGATTCGTCGAAGGTTTGCTTCGTGATACGTCACAGTTCTCCCCCTCTCGTGGCTGTTGGAGCGTCCACAAGGGCCCTGCAGGTCTCCAAGATCGCCCCACCACGGCTCCAGAGGGCCCCGAGAGGCTCTCCAGCGGGCCGAAAGAGCCCCAAGAGACCTTAATACGACGCCGAGATACCAACAGGATCCCAAGACGGCCTCAGTGGGGCCAAGATGGCGCTGGCAAGCCTCCCTGGGGACTCGCGGCAGGCCTGGGGAGCCCACAAAAGACCATCACAGGGAGCCAAGGCCGCCCCCCTAACGCTTAAGAGCACTCCAGTGTGCACAACCCCCGCTGCTCCGCGAGGGCCACAGCTCATCCCCACGACTCTCCTCCCCTCCCACCAACACAAACACTTTCCCACGAGTGCACACCAGTGTTGCCTGAACATGAAACCCAGCGCGTTCCAGAACACGTCCGCCACGTCCGCCAGAGCCCCGCAGTGGGGGGGGGGCACAGGGGCATGAGCGGACGAGACGTGATGGCCAGGGTAAAAGGACAGGCGGAGAGGGAAGAGCGCAGAGAGGGAGGCAGAGGATGTCGGAAAGGGGAGCCTCTGAGGGAGCCTGCGGAGGCACCTGGGCACAGCCTGCCCTGCCCCAAGGTGGCTCCATAGTGCCTGGAGCTGCCCCACGAGGGTTCCCACAATCCCCCCGAACGCTCGAAAGGCCTCCACTGGTGCCCTGGATGGCGCTCCCCCCTGCCCCGCCCCGCGACGGCCACAGGAGAGCCGCCGCAGCACCCGCCAACTGCCGCAAAGAGACCAGAAGGGGAGTCGGGGCGGAGGAGCGGGGCGTGCGCAGTAGGGTCATCAGCTGCTGCCACTGCTGCTGGTACACGCCGATCCTATTTCAAGGATCGGTATGCTTTTGCTGTGGCTCGTTATTCTATGGGAGGGCCTGAGCCCGATCTACTTCATCCGCCTTCCTACTTCATGTTTTTACCCGCTTCTTCCGACCGACGGGTAATGAGCGTGGTGGGGGGTATCAAGGGATTCTGGGGCGGGCCCAGGCTGCTGGGAATAGCCTGCCTGGGGGGGCAGGGTATGCCGGGGCTTGCCAGCCAGGGCCTCAGGTCGTTTTCGACCTGTTCGGTGCAAGGTTGGACCACTGCCTTGAGTGTATAGGAGCGCCCGTGCGCTGTGCATGGTACTGTTCTCGACGCCTCGCCTCGCAATAGCCTTCATTACAACTCAGGCTGACCACGTGGCCTCAATGTAGGCTGAGCTTGGCTCCAGAAGTATCTTCCATGTGCTCATCTGTCTCCATCCGTGCGATGAGAGAAGTCGGTGTCGGTCGAGTATCTCTCGACGCGTACAGAGCACGTTCGTCTTCTTGCCACAGAGGAAAGGAGACAGAGCTCGAAGGGCCAGCTTTCCCAAAGAAGTGCTGTACTTGGGCGGATTTTACTTGACTCTCCTACGGTATTGGATGGGGGTGCCGGGGTTTCGCCTGGTGCCCGCCTGGTGGGCGCCTTCCCCAAAGCTCAAAAGACACCCCTCGTGCTGGGAGGGTGTGCTTAGGTCTCGCCTTGTGCACTCGTGCCCACCTGGCGCTCGTGGCCGCCTCGTGGGCGCTTCGTGCGCTGGGCGGGTGCGCCGAGGGTTCGCCTGGCTTCCGTCCGTGAGCACCAGTGGCCGCCTCGTCGGAGCCTCGCGCGCTGGGCGGGTGTGCCGATGCTCCGCGGCGTGCCCGCGCGTCGGCGCCTCGTGGGCGTTTCGGTGCAGCTGGGCGGCCGTGCAGTCTGCACCGCGCAGTGTTCACCGGGCGGCTTGCTTGCACCACGCAGCTTGCACCACGGAGCTTCTGGCACCGTGCAGCCTGCGCCAAACAGACCGCACCGCGCAGCTTGCACCGAGCAGCCTTCGCCACGTAGCCTGCACCGCACAGCTTACGCCACACGGCTTGCACCGCATGTGTCGCATCAGGGCTTGCACCACATGGCTTGCACCGCGTAGCGCCCACCACAAGGGCTGCACCGAGAACACATTGATTGCACCACAGAGCTTGAACCTTCACAGTGCAGTAACTTACGTTTTGGGGTCCACGCTGGCAAGCATGTGTCATTGACTCTCCTCATGCCTCTCCAAGTTGATAGCCTTGCACGGCGGCAGGCCGCTGACGGGAGCATTAGTGTGGCAGCAAGGTCGAGGGATCTTCGGCGCCAGCAGTGAGTGAGTGAAGCGTGTAAACTTGGACGCATTTCATTGCCAGGAGTTGTTTGTTTATACCTGCTGTGTTCGAGGTGTCGGCGTGTGGAAGACGCTCTCCGTTCGTCGTCGTCGCCGTCGCCGTTCTCCCCCTTTCCCTGGGCCCTTCTCCTCAAGCGCGCCAGCCAACGCGAAATTCAGCAACGCCGTAGTTGAGTCGGAGGGGCGCATTGCGGAAAACGCGGGGTCGACAGAACCTGCAGTTTGTCGAAGTCACCTTTGTGCAGCTGCGTGTAGCGCGCAGGGCGTGGCCCTCTCCTCGTATGTTGCACGGCGATGGGTGGTAGTTCGATGAGGGGGGGGAGGAGGAGCAGAAGGAGGAGGAGGAGGAGGAGGAGGGCTCCAGGCACGACGTAGGCCTGGGCGGTTTCAGCCTTTTTCAACACGGCGTCGAGGAAACCAGAAGAGGAGGAAGCAGAGGAGGAGGGATGGGGAGGTGCAGGAGGAGGAGGAATAAAGATGAGGGGGAGGAGGAGGAGAGCGCCTGATCAATTCAGTTCGTCCTCTCGATTGCGGTCGGTATCTTCCTCCATCCTTGTTCGTAACGCCTCTTGCCAATCCAGAGGTAGAGGGTCTATTGTAAAAAACGCGTTTTCAGGTCAGAGGCTGAGAAGCCCGTGCCAAACACATGCTCTTCATGTTTTCAGGCTTTGGTGGATCTATGCGCGCCCATGCGGATAGACGCGCAAAAACTTGAACCACTTGTTGTTCCCCACATGTGAAATGGGGTCTTTGTTTTCTCTGGACGCCCCGCGCAGGAACCACAGCACACACCACATCATCACCCACTCACTCACTCACTCATTCACTCATCACTCACTCATTCACTCAGCCATCACGACGCCATCGCTCTCACACACGCGTATCACCATCAACATCAGTAGCTCCATCACCACATCAGCATCAACATCAGTAGCATCATCATCACCATCACTCAGTCACTGACTCACTCATTCAGCCCCACGCGCTCCTTCACTCATCATCATCATCACAATCATCACCGTCATCACTCACACACCCTCTCACACTCACACTCACTCACACACAGACCATCTTGATTACCTGGACCATCACTCGATCACACACTCGCTCACCCACTCACTCATCATCTACATCATCCTCATCATCCGCATCATCATTCATTCAGTCATGCACTCACTCAACCACTCAATCGCTAGCTTGAATATGGGGGAAGTATCAGGCGGGAGCTTCGTTTGTGAGTGAATTGCGAGGAAGTCTCAGGGAGCCCTCTCGTTATGGGGCCCGCAGTTCACGTTTTAGTCCGAGCGGGTCATCCTCGAACCTGTAACTGTCGTCACTTTTGGGCTCCTGAGGCTTGAATAGGGGGGAAGTATTAGGCGGAAGGCTCGTCTGTGAGTGAATTGCGAGGGAGTCTCAGGCCTAAGCCCTCTTCTAATCTCAGCGGGTCATCCTCGAACCTGGAACTGTCCTCACTTAGGGGCTCCTGAGGCTTGAATGCGGAGGAAGTATCAGGCGGGAACCTTGTTTGTGATTGGTGTCTGAGGAAGTCTCAGGCGGGAGTCCCCTCCCTATGGGGCTCGTATTTTATATTTTTCGTCTGAGCGGGTCAGCCTCGAACCTGTAATTGCCGTCACTTTTGGGCTCCTGAGGTTTGAATATGGAGGAAGTATCAGGCGGGAGCTTCGTCTGTGAGTGAATTGTCAGGAAGTCTCAGGCGGGAGCCACCTTCCCAATGCTGCCCGCATTAGCAGGTCATTCTCGAACGTGTAACTGTCGTCAGTTTTGGGCGCCTGAGGCTTGAATATCGGGGAAATATCAGGCGGGAACCTCGTCTGTGAGTGAATTGCGAGGAAGTCTCAGGCGGGAGCCCCCACCCAATGGAGCCCGCTTTTGAATTTATTATCCGAGCGGGTCATCCTCGAACCTGGAACTGTCGTCGCTTTGGGGTTCCCGAGGCCTGAATATGGAGGAAGTATCAGGCGGGGTGCCTCGTCTGTGAATGAACTGTGAGGAAGTCTCAGGCAGGAGCCCCCTCCCTATGCGCTCTTCAGAGGGCGATTCGCCCGACCCATCAGGCGAGGAGGAACAGGAGGAACAGGAGGTGAAAACGACGACGGCGGCCGGGCTCAGGGGGAAACCCTTGCGTCCGGGCCGGGGGTGCCACTGCGCGGCGCCCGGTGCCCCACCTCCTGCAGCGGATGCGAGGCGGCCACTACGTCGCCTTCGTCAACAAGAGCGGGCGCGGGTTCGAGCTCGACGACGCCGTCGTGACGGAAATGCATGAGAGGCCCGAGGCGTAACCTTACCTGGTTTTCCTGGCCCGCACGCGGCCGCGACTGTCGATTCCGCTGGGGGGAAAGCGGCGCGACCCCCATGAGTTTGACGACGCTTTGCAGGCCGCTGCCAAGCTGCCGCGACTTGACCCCGCGTCGCCGAGAGGCAGCGCGTTTGGCGCAGCTTCACGATCGGGCTGCGGCAGCCACGGCTTGCCCCAGGGTGCAGGCTCTGCTGCCAGTCGGAGCCAGACTGGCAGGGACCAGAGTGGAAGAGACTGGTCCGGTAGAGTCCAGATCGGCAGGGATCAGAGCGGCCAGGACCGCGCCGGCAGGGACCAGACAAGAGACCGCGCTGGCCAGCAGGCGGGCATCGCCGGAGCGCACCCAGCTGCCAGGGCCGTCTGGAACGCCTTGGCTGCCGCGGACAACAGGGACCACGCCTGGGCAAACTCCGAGAGCAGCGCGAATAACCCGTTCAAGCGGAATGTGGATATTTGGGACCGGCGACGCACTTGCGCAGATGTCACATGCCGCTCTTGGTCGCAGAGGGCCGAGCCGTCAGGCCCTCAGCCATGCCGGTTCTGTCAGGGCCTAGACGGGCCCCGCGAAGATTGGAAGGAGCACGTTGACGAAGAGCACGGCGGCGTCCTGCGCTACTGCAGCGCTCTCTTCTCGTCGCTGTCGCTGAAGCCTCACGTGGTCCAGTGGGGGGAGCGGGGCGCGATCGTGGCCAACTACGCAGAGTTCTACGCCAGGGCCGCTGTGGACTGGGAGAAGCCGACTGAGCGCATGCGCGAGCTTGCTCGGAGTCCTGAAGGGTTGCCTGCAGGTGACCGCTGGACGCCTCGGGCGCGCTGCGCGTGCGTCTTCTGCGCCAGGCTGCACTGGTCCGAAGACCTCTCCTGGGAGTTTCTGGCTGGCGAACGCTGCTTCATGAAGAACCCCGAGGCCGTGGCCAGACTGCTCTCCTGGGAGGTCTACCACGATCACTGGCCGGACAGTCCCGAGGCCGAGCTCCGCGCCTCTGCAGCGCGGCTCCGCGTTGGGAACGCGTGCACATTCCAGCTTGTCCTCATGCACAAGCGGCGGGTGACCGATGCGCAGGCAGCGGGCGAGGAGCCAGCCCCGGTGCGCGAGGATTGCAAGGGTGCGTTCTCGCTCCGCCATCTGTGCATGTGCAAGTTCTCCCGCGCTAACCACCCGCGGCTCGGCAGGCGGGGTCCGCTCTTCCGCGAGGCGAACTTGTCGCGCCAGGTGCTCCTCGCACTCGCCCGCGTCGCGGCGACCAAGGTGGCGCTGCGCCCCGAGAGCTACGACAGGCAGCGCAGCGGCGACGGGCCCGCGTGGGGCGTTCTGTTCCACCAGACGGGCATGGTGGGCTCCGCAATTCTTTTCGGGAGCGCATCTTGCAAGGAGGCCATGGGGCGCCCCCCCCCCCCTTCCCGCGTCCGTCAAGGGCTCGCCCGCAGTGACCCCCATGGCTGCCAAGCAGGCCGCGACGAAGGAGCGGGCGCCCGGCCCGCCGGAAGACGCGGGGAAACAGCGGCGCAGCGAGGGCCTGGCAGGCGGCGCCGCCAGGCAGCAGGACGCCGCCCGGCGCGCCGCCCGGGGCATCGCGCGCCTCAAGGTCAACCGCGCAGAGTCTGACAATCTGGCGAGGACGCCGCAGGCCACGAACGTCGTCTACAAGGACAAGACGTGCGACGGGGCGCTGATGGCGCAGTGGCGCACGGACCCGCCGATTCCTCAGGTGCCCCCCGCGGTGCTGGACAGCGTAGTGGCCGCGCCGTTGGAGGAGTCGCCCGGCGACGTCGCGGCCGCGGGCCCGGCCGGCGCCGCGGCGGCCGGGGCGCGGGGTCTGGGCGACAGGGGCGCGCAGGCGTGCGATCAGTCCCAGTACGTGGGCGCATTAACGCAGCGAGGAGGACATCCCGCGCGCGGCCGGGGCCCACCGGCGCTGATCCGACAGCTGGAGGAGCTGGGCGCGACCGCGCAGCGCCCCGTGGTCCAGGAGACAGAGCGCGCCGTCGAATCGGGGAGCGCGCCGCTGGGCGAGGCGGACAGGGATCGCGCCTTGAAGCTCTGCAAGTCTGTTCGGAAACGCGCGGAGAAAATGTCGCTCGCAGAGCGACTGCCGCGGGCGCAGCAGGATCTCGCGCGCGCTGCGCTGGGCGAACCAGCGGGGCCCAGACAGGCGGGGGCCGAGGCGACCGCGGCGAATCTCGAGGCGCCGCGCGGCACTGCGCCCCTGTCTCTCTTCGACTGGAAGGCGTCGACGCAGGCGCCCCCGAGATTGTGGCGCTACGGCGACGCTGGCCACAAGGGCCCGAAGCGAACGGGGACCTACCCGCAGTTGCTCGCCCACGAGTGGATCACGCGCCTGTGCGTGCGCGAGGGGATGGGGCGCAGTCTGGACGCCGGCGGGGAGAACTCGCACCGCGCGCGGGAGAGCGACGACGATCCCGAGGTCTACCGGTTCGCGGCGGACTGGGTGTCTTTGCGCGTGTTCGCCACGCTGCACTACTTGACGGAACGCCACCAGTCCGCCTTCGCCTTTCTGACGAGCGGAGGCATGAAGAGCGCCGAGAAAGTGCGGCACCTCACGCGGGCAGCCCTGGCGGCTGCCGCGCGCGCTCGCGCGGGCGGCGGCGGTGCGGTGGTTTTGGCAAGCAACGCGAACGTGCCCAATGCGGTGCGGGACGCACTGAACATCGGGCAGATGGCAGTCGCAGACGTCGGCGGCACCGACGGACATCGGCGCCTCTGCCGCCACGATGGGGGTCACTTACATGGCACTCTTCGGGTGCCCCTTGATCTTCGCCGCTCCGAACATAGCGGACGCGAAGCAGCCGCCGTTCGTCAAGGTTGCGGGCCAGGAAATCTCGCTCGACGGCCGGGGCATTCCAGGCGCGCGCAGCGACGTTACCCCCAAGTACCGAGACATGATGCGGCGCGTCGCCCAGGGCCCAGTCGGCCAGACAGTGTGCTTCGAGCTCATCGCCCGGCTCTTCTTCATCCACGTTCTCGTGGGCGGCCGCA